TTATAAAGAGGGTTTTTATATTTTAAAAAATCAGAACTAAAATATAGTGTGCTTATAAAGAGGGTGTGATTATATAAAGTGTGATTGTAGAGAGGGTTGACTGTATATACTTTCTATCAGTCATGTCAGTCAGTTACGTAACTGACTAACTGATGATCAGTGTGACAATCGATTTCTTATATATACTCAATAAGATTTTTAAAAATTTCTGAACATCTGAATATCACAATACAAAATGTTAATGAACGAATATTTTAAACGCACCTCTAAAGACTGGAATATTCTGGGCTTTCTTAACGAATGTAATATAGAACTGTTAGATTGAAAACTTGATTATTACACCAAGAGTCTCAAGGCTATTGTTAATCGCAAGGAGGGTGACAGAAAAGAAAGGGCATAACTGTTGCTCAATAAATACAAAGAGTCAAGTGTGAACTCTTTAGGCTTTTTGGACTTTTTATGTTAGAATGCAAATTTTCTATGTTAAGGCATGGGAAATTTCTAGTCATTCTCTTCTTGATACTGGCCTTATTGGGGCGCAGGTGACTTTCTAGGTCATTCTGTTCTGCGTTCAAGGTTTCTAGCTGACCTGACACTGGCCTTACTGGGGCGCAGGCGACTTTCTAGGTCGCTAGGCAATTTTCTAGGTCATTCTTTTCTGTGTTCAAGGCTTCTAGCCGACCCGGTTGCGATAAATTCTTCAAATTCGAAAATTTTTAAAAGCATTAACTGGTATTATAAGAAATCAGATAGTCAGGAATATCAGTGCTATATGCATTATAGGATATAATAATCTTAATCGAAATTATTGTCTCTTTATCTTAGAGTATTAGACCTGATCGTCAAATCGCGAAAAATTGGGATAATGGATGATCACAAAGCCAGGTTTATCTCCATAATCCAACAATTTCCAGTGAAAATATCAACAGGTTTGTAAATATGAACGGAAATGGAACTTTCGTTTCTGGATCATATATATCCAAAAGAGAGCAAAAGGTATTAATGAATTAATGGGCAATTTTTAGCTAGTAGTTGAGAATTATTTAGGACTAATTGTTTTAATTATTTGCATTTAATCATTTAGGAAAATAATAAAAATAATGTCAAATCAAAATGGAGAAAATTGGACGATGTCAAAATTCCCCCTTTCCTTCAACCACGAACACCCGAACATCAAATATTTTCTCCAAGTCCTCTCATTTCCCCAACCACAAGAAGCGAAAGCAATGATAAAGAAACTGATGATGATTTTGGCACAGATAACCGAAATCCTAGGAATCTTTCTTTCGATGAATATGTGGATGATGATAATGTAAATGATGTGGATGATGACGATGATGTGGATGACGTACTTCTCTTAAATAATTTGATTACATTTGATAAAGATGCTATCGACAATCCTGTGAGTTTCATTTTCTTTTTTTATCAGCTAGTGTTTTTGATTGCTAATTTATGTATTTGCATCTACAGTATATATTTCAGGGAGAAAATATTTCTGAACTATTTACCTCATATCGTTCTAAAGTATTACCAATTGCACAAGGGGTAGGTTTGTCGATTGCGACGGACTATCGTGAAGTATTGTAAGTTTCAGTCTTTAAAACACATCTTTTTGTGCAAATAATCAGCTAATGTTTGCTGGAATTATTAGGAGCTTGTCTCATATTTTATTATTACAAGCTGGCGATTTCTCGGACCTGCAGATCCAAGAATTTTCTGAAAACACGTTAGAACAATTATGAAAGAATATGCATAATGCATACATGACGAAAATGAAAGTTGCGTCAAGTGTGAAAGCAATATTTCGAGAGTATCTTGAGGTACTATATTAATGTATTATTATTTAAGGAACCGTTTATAATAACTTTGTTGTTGCTACACCAGACCGTTATTGATAAGGATCTCAGATTGAAAGAGACAAAGAAGTCTTTAATAAGATTATTTACAAAGTCTTTTGAGAATCCCGCTGATCAGGAAAAATTCGACAGGATGCAGATTGTCTTTTTGCAATTGTAAGTCCTATGATGTTATCCCTTAGCTATTTGGTTAATAATACTTACCACTTTCTGACTCATAGAATGGAAAGTATACCCGTTAATCCTTTAAATGATCTTATCAGCGAGGGCACTCTGACCGCTAACATAATCAGCCCAATATTATGTTTTTTTTTACGATGCTTTGTTACATCCAACCACATGGCCAAACACTGCCAGTATGAGTGCCAAAGTCCGTAAACTCGCCAATTTAGATCCTTCTCGGGCAAAACAACCCGATATGATCGGTAATATTATTAATAATAACAAATGCAAATACGAAGTAATGTTTGGAGAAATTACTGGAGAAGGAAAAAATAACAACGCAAAGAAAAATAGTCTGGATCTTCTAAGGCTTGGTATATTTATGAAAGATTCACTCAATTGTCTCATCAAAAATACAGGAGAAAATCGTATTGTGTTTGCGTGGCAGATAATTGGTGAGTGTTCACTTACATAATAGTCACAATCGAGTTATTTATATGTGCTCACGTGAATATTGTATGGTAGTGACTAGTGTTTCGCACGGATTCAGATTGATCCGAATCCAATCTGAATCCGACGGATCGGATTTGGATCAGATCTGTCAGATTCAGATCTAATTCAGATTCAGATTCAGATCGGATCTGATCCGTCAGATTCGGATTCAGATTCAGATCTGATCTGTCGGATTCAGATTGAATTCGGATCTGATCCGTCGGATCTGAATTAAAGCCGAAAGTTCCTTTTCAATAAAAAGGGACGAATTTTCGAACTTCTTTTGAGCCAAAAATTTGTTTCCTTTCATTGAAAAGAAACGAATTTTTGGAACTCTTTTAGAACCGAAAAGTTCCTTCATTGAAAAGGAACGAATTTTCGGAACTCTTTTAGAGCCGAAAAGTTC